CCATGTGGATACCCATGTTCAGTTCACAGCAGCAGCAGTGCGGGGTGAAGACCATGCGNCGTTAGGAGGTGCCAGGCCTCGCGGGCGGGGTGTGCTGCCTCGGCCGCGAGCGGACAGCAGAGATATTACTAAAGCTATCCCATGTGGATACCCATGTTCAGTTCACAGCAGCAGCAGTGCGGGGTGAAGACCATGCGTCTGCCTCTCTCGATCGAGCCCCCCAGTTCACGCCCAGCTCGTACAGCAGTCACCGATGAGAGCTCTGATGTATGTTGGTCTGCTGCTATATACCAAAGGTGTGTGTGAGCAAGGGAGTGGCGTGTGGATGCGACCATGTGTACTCGAGTGCATGTGGGAGATGCCGGTAGGGTGTTGTTTTGTTGTTGTTTTTCTCCCATCATTGGACTCTGCCGTCTGCCCCTCTGGCCCCTATCCTCCACTTCTACTGGCTACAAGCCACGCGTATTTCACGGTTGGACCGGATTCCCGCGCGGTTTTTCCGAATCTTGATGAGCTCATCCTTGAGGTCCTCTTCCGACATGATCCAGTCCCTCTCGTGCACCCCCCTTGAATCTCGCTTGAAACCACCGTGCCCCCGAAAGTCCCTGAGCCACCCCNTTTGTTTCTCTCCCATCATTGGACTCTGCCGTCTGCCCCTCTGGCCCCTATCCTCCACTTCTACTGGCTACAAGCCACGCGTATTTCACGGTTGGACCGGATTCCCGCGCGGTTTTTCCGAATCTTGATGAGCTCATCCTTGAGGTCCTCTTCCGACATGATCCAGTCCCTCTCGTGCACCCCCCTTGAATCTCGCTTGAAACCACCGTGCCCCCGAAAGTCCCTGAGCCACCCCAGGATTGTCGATGCCGCGTAAACCCGTGAGCCAGCGGAGTTTACTCTCGCCGCGATCCGCAAGAGCGACGACTCGTGTCGAAGACGCGAGGCCTCGTTCAACAGCTCAAACCGTTTGGCCTCTGCTGCCTTCACCGCTGGGATCGTCGTGTACGACTCATCGGACAAGCTCTTCGCCTGCTGCGTGAGTTGCAGTTGCCGCAGGTCGCGCTTCCGCTCCTCCTTCAACACCGTCAACGCCGAGTGCCCTTGATACCACAAGCGGTTTGCTTGGGTGGCGGACACTTCCTCCTTGTACTGGTTGTCCTCGCCATCGGTACACGCCCGTGCGTCCACCTCTGCATTTCCTTCGATGGGCGAGGGGGGGAGAGGGGCGAGAAGACTCGCGAGGTCTTGCTCCGCCATAGCATCCTCAATACGCCGAATGTGCTGCTCGTTGCTACCGATCTGCGATGTCAGCTCGTAGATCCGGTTGCCGAGATAGGAGCCCCGCTTGTCGAAGTCCCGTCGAAGCTTTCCTTCCCTCTTGCTCCAGCCCCGGGCCACCGAACGTCTCTCGCGCCTGGAAAGCGTCGACTCTAGCGTGAAGCCTGCGCGGGTCGCGTCCGAACCGGCCAGCCGCTGTCGNACGTCTTCTCCCACTGGTCTGTGGCTGCGGGGAAGCGGCTGGAAGCCATGCTGTCGCTCTCTGCACGGTGCTGCGCAACAGCAATGTGTGCTGCTGCTGTGTTTTTTTTTCAAAAATCCCTGGTTCCGCCGCAAAAAAAAACGTTTCAACCGTTTTTTAGCTTATCTGGAACTAAAACCTATATGAATTGGGGGTGATATCTTCCGTTTTGAGAGATTTGGGACAATCAGCTGTTTGCGAACACGTGCGTACCCGCCTTGTTGGGCGATTCGGGGGATATGCCGAACGCGGCTCAATTCTTTTTCCTCGATAAGCTATGGCGTGACGAACGCAAGTTGGTTTCTTGGCTGGACCAGCTTGTAGGGGTAACTCATGAAAAAAAAAATCCAAATGGCGCAGTGGTAATATTTTTTGTACTCATGCAGATGCCGTCTCAAAACTTCAGGTCCTGATTCGAAAAAAACGCGCGGGAAATCCGGTCCAACCGTGAAATACGCGTCTTGGCTGGACCAGCTTGTAGCAGGCTGCGAGGCTACCCACTAGACCACCGGGGCGACCGGGTGTAGAGAACGGGAGACGGTGGTTGAAATATGTGTGTTCCACAGCCTTGGCCTTGATGATGTCAGCGGTCTCTCCGCCCAGTTGAGCAAAAAAAGACCCTCGGAAGATCCAGGGAAAACCCAGTCACATAGGGGTTGAACCTCTAGTTTCGGCCGAGGCTGGGGTTCTTATTTTGCTGATCATGCTCTTGTGAGCTGCAAATGGTCGCTATATAGGTTTTAGTACGGAGTTCTTAACCGAGCTCACAAATGGTGCTCAAGTTCTTATAGCTTCTGACTTTTTGCGAGTCTCAATTTCTTAACTGCCAAGTTCTTAAAGGCGCTATCTGTACCCAAAACGATGTGCCGGCAGAGTGATTCTCCGTCTACAGCGGTGATAACAAAATGAATTCGCATCGATTCGCACCGGCTGGTCACCCAAGGAACACACAGTTACATTTTCCTCCGTTTCCACTTATTAGCCCATAACTTCGAGCAAAGAGTGCATATCAGGAAACGGGCAACACCAGGACTTTAATGCTGCGGCTAGAACGACTTCTCAGTTCACCCCACTTTTGGCAAAACAACAACAAAAAATGGGGTGCACCTTCATACGACCTATTCTAGTATTCTGCAGACTCATCGCAGGAGCCACTTTACGCCTCCCGCTTCTTCGCCAACATCACAATTGTATTCCGTTCATCCCCTTCCCCTCCCTCGGCCCCTGCCCCTGACACCCCTACCGCCGCCCCCTCGGCCGCCAGCCCAACCCCGCCCCGCCCC